AAGCAAGGAGAAATCTAAAAGGCCATGGGAAGTTGTGGGAGCCATGATCAATCTAATGAGCTTGTGTAAATAGATAGCAGAACAGGGACTGGGAGAAAGCAAGGAGAGAAAACATTACTAAGTGTTACAAAGGATAAAGATGAGCCCAATCTAATGAAAATAGATAGCAGAACAGGGGACTAGGAGAGAAAGCAAGGAGAGAAATATTTGTTACAAAGGATAGGAAGATGTGGGAGCCATGATCAATCTAATGAGATAATAGCAGAACAGGGACTCGCAGAGAGAACATTACTAAGTGTGGATAGGAAGATGTAGGAGCCATGATCAAAATGAGCTTGTGTAAATAAAGAACAGGGACTAGGAGAAAAGAAGGAGAAAAACATTACTAAGTGTTACAAAGGGATGAGATGAATCATATTAATGAGCTTGTGTGTAAAGGAGGAGAGAAAGCAAGGAGAGAAATATTACTAAATTATTTAGGGATGTGGGGGAGCCATGATTTGAGCTGATAGCAGAACCTAGAGAGAAGCAAGAGAGAAACATTACTAAAGTGTTACAAAGGATAGGAAGATGGGGGAGCCATGATCAATCTAATGAGCTTGTGTAAATAGAAAACAGGGACTAGGAGAGAAAGCAAGAGAAAACATTACTAAAAAAGGATAGGATTGTGGGGAGCCATGATCGAATCTAATGAGCTTGTGATAAATGAATAGCAGAACAGGGACTAGGGAGAGAAAGCAAGGAGAGAAACATTACTAAACAAAGGATAGGAAGTTGTGGGGAGCCATGTCAATCAATGAGCAAATAGATAATAAAAAGCAAGGAAAAACAAAAGTGTTACAAAGGATAGGAAGTTGTGGGGGAAATCAATCTAATGAGTCTTATGTAAATAGATAGCAAACAGGGACTAGGAGAAGAAAAGCAAGGAGAGAAACATTACTAAGTGTTCAAAAGGATAGGGAAGTTGTGGGGAGCCATGATCCTAATGAGATTTGTAAATAGATAACAGAACAGGGACTAGGAGAAAAGCAAGGAGAGAAACATTACTAAGTGTTCTATGATCAATCTAATGAGTCTTTAGCAGAACAGGGACTAGGAGAGAAAGCAAGGAGAAATATTACTAAAGTGTTACAAAGGATAGGAAGATGTAGGGAGCCATGATCAATCTAATGAGCAAATAGATATGGGAGAACAGGGACTAGGAGAAAAAAATTATGGGATGAGGGAAGTGCCGGGGAAATGAGCAAAATCTGCATATGAACAAGGGACTAGGACCTTTCTAGGAAGTGGGAGCCATGATCAATTTGAGATTGTTAGATAGCAGAACAGGGACTAGAGACTCCGTTTAGGATTGTGGGGAGCCATCAATCTAATGAGCTGTGTTAGATAGAACAGGAGAAAGCAAGGAAATATTACTAAGGAGAGAAATGTAGGGAGCATGTTTAATGAATAGCAAACAGGATTTTGTTGGGGGAAGATGTGGGAGCCGCAGTCTGAGCTTGGTAAATAGATAGCAGAACAGGGACTAGGAGAGAAAGCATTACTAGTTACAAAGGATAACGCCTAATGAGTAAATAGATAGCAGAACAGGGACTAGGAGAAAGAAAGCAAGGAGAGACATTATAGGAGTGTTACAAAGGATAGGAAGATGTGGGGAGCCATCATCAATCTAATGAGCTTGTGTAAATTGCAGAACAGGGACTAGGAGAGAAAAGCAAGGGAGAAACATTACTAAGTGTTACAAAGGATAGGAAGTTGTGGGGAGCCAATCAATTTCCAGAACAGGGACTAGGAGAGAAAGCAAGGAGAGAAACATTACTAAGGTTACAAAGGATAGGAAGTTGGGGCCATGCAATCTAATGAGCTGTGTAAATAGATAGCAAACAGGGACTAGGATAGAACATTTACTAAGTGTTACAAGAGGATAGGAAGATGTGGGGAGCCATCGTGTAAATGAATAACAGAACAGGGACTAGGAGAAAAAGCAAAGAGAAATACCTAGGAGAAGATGTGGGGAGCCATGATCAATCTAATGAGCTTCTTGTGTAAATAGATATAGAACAGGACTAGGAAAGCAAGGAGAAACATTACTAAGTGTTACAAAGGATAGGAAGCTGTGGGGAGCCATGATCAATCTAATTGTGTAAATAGATAGAGAACAGGGACTCAAGGAGAGAAACATTACTAAGTTTACAAAGGATCTGTGGGAGCCATCAATCTAATGAGCTTGTTAAATAGATCAGGGACTAGGAGAGAAAGCAAGGAGAAAACATTATAAGTGTTACAAAGGATAGGAAGATGTGGGGAGCCATGATCCAATCTAATGAGCTTGTGTAAATAGATATGTAGCTGGGAGAGAAAGCAAGGAGAAAACATTACTAAGTGTATAGGAAGTGATGATCAATCTAATGAGCTTGTGTGTAAAATAGATAGCAGAACAGGGACTAGGAGAGAAAGCAAGGAGAGAAACATTACTAGGGTAAAAGGATAGGAAGTTGTGGGGAGCCATGATCAATCTAATGAGATTACTAAGCAAAGGATAGGAAGTTGTGGGGAGCGCATGATCAATCTAATGAGCTTCCTTAGCAGAACAGGGACTAGGAGAGAGAAAGCAAGGAGAGAAACATTTAAGGTTCAAAGGATTTTCCCAATAATTAGCCCACAGGGACTAGGAGAAAGCAAGGGAGAGAAACATTACTAAGTGTTAGCAAAAGGATGGGAAGATGTGGGAATATGATCAATCTGAGATTAGCCAGAACAGGGACTAGGGAGAGAAAAGCAAGGAGAGAAACGTTACTAAAAGTAGGAAGATGTAGGGGAGCCATGATCAAATCTAATGAGATTGTGTACCAAGGAAAATTTAATAAGTGTTACAAAGACTCTACTAGAGCTTTAGAACTTACTAGGAAATAGGAGAGATGTGCTAATCTGAGATGTGTAAATAGTAGCAGAACAGACCAGGATCAACAAAGGATGCATTAGATAGCAGAACAGGCCAGGAGAGAAAGCAGGAGAAAATGTTACTTGCTACAAAGGATTCCATGATCAGAGACAGCCCTCCTGTGGTTTATACTGATCAACTTGAGTTGCTAGAGAGAAAAAGAGACCTTGGAAGTTATCAATCTAATGAGATACAGCTTCTGGGAAAGTCTGCAATATCTCACTCATAAAGTAATAAGAAAGCAAGGAGAGAAATTAAGTGTTAAAGATACAAACCATGATCAATCTTGGTGTGAACCTCGGACTTATTACAAAGGAAGATGTGGGAGCCATGACTTTCCAGAACAGGACTGCAAGGAGAGAAATATGTGTTACTGGGATCTAATGAGCTTGACCCCAAAGGTTCCGTCTAACATCACTAGAAGATGGGGAGCCAAGGATCAAGGAGCTTGGATAGCAGAACAGGGACTAGGGAGAAAGCAACCATGGTGAGATTCAGCTCTTTCATGGCCAGAAGGTGCCATGCATCCTGGTGAACGACCCTAGGAGAGAAAGCAAGGGAGAGAAATGTTACAAAGGGATCCGAGCCACATAACATCAGATAGCAAGAACAGACCAGGAAAGGCAAGAGAGAAACATCTCAAAGGATAGTAGCTTACAGAAATCAACCATGGAACAGGGACTGAGAGAAAAGCAAGGAGAGAACATTAAAGAAAAGGATAGGAAGTTGTAATGGCCCAATCTAATGGTTTAGATAGCAGAACAGGGACTAGGAAGGAAGTTGAGATCAATTCTTGTGTAAATAGATAGCAGAAATAGGGACTAGAGAGAAAGCAAGGAGAAAAACATTACCGTTACAAAGGATAGGAAGATGTGGGAGCCATGATCAATCTAATGAGATTGTGTAAATAGATAGCAGAACAGGGACTAGGAGAGAAAAGCAAGGAGAGAAACATTAATAAGTGTTGAAAGGATAGGAAGATGTGGGGAGCCATGATCAATCTAATGGAGTGTGTAAATATAGCAGAAATAGGATAGGAGAACATGGAATCTAATGAGAGAGAACAGGGACTAAGAGAAAGAGAAAACATTACTAAGTGTTACAAAAGGATAGGAAGTTGTGGGGCCATGATCAATCTAATGAGATTGTGTAAATAGATAGCAGAACAGGGACTAGGAGAAAGAGAAAGGAAGGAGAAAACATTACTAAAGTAGGAAGATGTGGAGCCATGATCAATCTAATGAATGCCAGTAAATAGAATTGGAGAAAGCAAGGAGAGAAATATTACTATGGAAGATTGGGGAGCCATGAGTAGAACAGGGACATAGGGAGAAAAGCACTAGGAGAGAAATAAATAATAAGTGTTACAAAGGCTAGCCATGATCAATCTAATGAGTTGGTAAATAGATGGAACAGGGACTAGGAGAGAAAGCAAGGAGAGAAACATTACTAAGTGTTACAAAAGGATAGGAAGAAGAGCCATTCAATCTAATGAGCTTGTGTAAATAGATAGCAGAACAGGGACTAGGAGAGAAAGCAAGGAGAGAAACATTACTAAGTGTTACAAAGGATAGGAAGATGTGGGGAGCCATGATCAATCTAATGAGCTTGTGTAAATAGATAGCAGAACAGGGACTAGGAGAGAAAGCAAGGAGAGAAATATTACTAAGTGCTACAAAGGATAGGAAGTTGTGGGGAGCCATGATCAACCTACCTAATGAGCTGTGGAAGGGATAGTAAGAGGTATAAAAGATAGGGAGTTGTGAACAGCCATGATGACTCATATTCTGAAGGGACATGTCACATAATAAAAAGAAGTCTTGCCTTTGGTGACACCCAACCTCAGAAAAGGAAAACTCTAAATTTCAAACCATAGAGAAAACAATAGGAAACCACTCCCCTATCTTTCCTAAGAAGTAGCAGTTCACAGATAATAAAAAAAAAAAAAAATCTATGGAAAGCCAAAAATAAAAACAAATCTCCAAAACCTTTCTGTGTTAATTTATTTTCCTAATGTTTTTTTTTTCCAATTGTTTCTATGTTTTCTTTTTTCCTGTAGGACCAATATGCATCAGAATTGGCTAATTTAGGAGCTCAGTGCCGGGGGGAGAGGCATCACCAAGTGATTGAACGTCAGCGAGAAGCCCTTGCAGAACTCCGTAAGAAATTGAAGATATTAGAACAGAGCAAATTCCGTGAGTAGATTCACCCTCATTCAAGCCATAACGCCGAAGATGAGCAAGCGCCATTTCATTATAATTCAATCAGATGTCAACATTGTCCCATATTGGAAACTTGTTGAAATGCAAGAAACTGATAGATCGTATATCAAATCAAATAAAAAATGCAAAATCTTGAAATCTTTCTCAGATTTCTTACATATTTTGTCTTCCTTCTAGTTTTGTCTAAGAATTTGCAATAATTACCATTGTTAAATTGTATGTAGCTGGCCACTTGTATTTGAGGATACCCGTCTACTAGGGTAGCTAGCCAATCTCTATTGCAGATGCTTGCTCAGGTGCATTTGTGTTTATTCAATTCCCACAGAGAGCCCACCTGTGGTTTATACTGCAACTTTGCTGAGCAGACCTTAGTTACAGTTTCTGGGAAAGAGTGTGCTATCTCGCATGATCAATAATTTAGACAAGGCCAGCATGTTCAAGCCCTCGGACATGATGACTTGTGACTTCATGCTAGCACAGCTATTGACAGCTCCCAAGGGTTCCGTCTACCCAGTTTCACTCACAAGGCTTGGATCAACCCATGGTGTGATTTTCAGCTCTTTCCAAAGGTGCTGCATGCTGGGATCGACCCTTTGCATCCGATAACATCAGGAAGTCTCCTTACTGAGAAATCAACCATGGTGAGATTCGAACCCAGGTTTCATGGCCAGAAAGGGAACATTCTATCCACTCGAAATTACCGATAAAGTAAAGGATTATTTCTTGTATATGACGGAGATTGCGAGAAAAGTGAAAATCTTGGAGAGGGAGAGAAGTTGGGAGCCCCAAGAGAAAAAAATGAGGAGGTTAGAACATATGAGAGGTAAAGAGAAGTGGGGTAGCACTAGGAGAGGGGAAAGAGAAGTGGGGTAGCACTAGGAGAGGGGAAAGAGAAGTTGGGTGGCACTAGGAGAGGGAAAGAGAAGTGGGGTAGCACTAGGAGAGGGAAAGGAGAAGTGGGGTGGCACTAGGAGGGAAGAGAAGGGGTAGCACTAGGAGAGGGTAAAGAGAAGTGGGGTGGCACTAGGAGAGGTAAAGAGAAGTGGGGTAGCACTAGGAGAGGGGAAAGAGAAGTGGGGGGCACTAGGAGAGGGATGAGAAGTGGGGTAGCACTAGGAGAGTGGAAAGAGAAGTGGGGTAGCACTAGGAGAGGGAAAGAGAAGTGGGGTGGCACTAGAGGGGAAAGAGAAGGGGTAACTAGGAGAGGTAAAGAGAAGGTGGGCACTAGGAGAGGGAAAGAGAAGGGGTAGCACTAGGGAAAGGGGAAAGAGAAGGGGTGGCACTAGGAGGAAAGGAGGGGGGTACTAGGGAGGGGAAAAGAGAAGTGGGGTGGCACTAGGGAGAGGAAAGAGAAGGTGGCACTAGGAAAGAGAAGTGGCTGGGCAAGAGAGGAAAGAGGTGGGGTGGCACTAGGAGAGGGGAAAGAGAAGGGGTGGCACTAGGGCAAAGAGAAGGGGGTGGTAAGAGAGGGAAAGAGAAGGGTGGCACTAGGAGAGGAAAAGAGAAGTGGGGCACTAGAGGGGGAAAGAAGTGGGGTGGCACTAGAGAGGGGAAAGAGAAGTGGGGTGGCACCAGGAGGCAAAGAGAAATGGGGTGGCACCAGGGGAGAGGGAAAAGAGAGGGGTGGCACCAGGGAGAGGGAAAGAGAAGGGGTGGCACTAGGGAGAGGGGAAAGAGAAGTGGGGTGGCACTAGGAGGTAAAGAGAAGTGGGTGACTAGGAGAGGGAAAGAGAAGTGGGGTGGCACTAGGGAGAGGTAAAGAGAAGTGGGGGTGGCACTAGGGAGGGAAGAAGTGGGGTGGCACTAGGAGAGGTAAAGAGAAGTGGGGTGGCACTAGGAGAGGTAAAGAGAAGTGGGGTGGCACTAGGAGAGGGAAAGAGAAGGGGTGGCACTAGGGAGGGGAAAGAGAAGTGGGGTGGCACTAGAGAGGGAAAGAGAAGTGGGGTGGCCAGGAGAATGGGGTGGCACTAGGAGAGGGGAAAGAAGTGGGGTAGCACTAGGAGAGGGAAAGAGAAGTAGGGTAGCACTAGGAGAGGGGAAAGAGAAGTGGGGTGGCACTAGGAGGTAAAGAGAAGCGGGGTGGCATTAGGAGAGGGAAAGAGAAGTGGGGTGGCACTAGGAGAGGGGAAAGAGAAGTGGGGTGGCACTAGGAGAGGGAAAGAGAAATGGGTGGCCCAGGAAAGGGAAACTGACAACTGTTTCATCTTTTTTTAGCTGCATTTTATATATACAAGTTCAATTTGACATCTGGAGTGAACATGAAAACCAGTTATTACGAAGTTTTGTAACTTCAAAACTGACTGCAAGAGGAAAAGTGTCAAAAGTTATTTTGAAATTATAGGATGTTATATTGTCAACACTTATAATAACTGAATTACATTACATTAATTTTGGAATATTTCTAGATACTCATAATTTTACCTTCATTTGTAGAGAACCGTGTCTGTATTTATGTGTTGTTGTATTAGAAACACGTGTGTAACTCCTGGTAGAATATTAAAAGATCCAACTACATGAAAAATGGCGGACTTAATTTGTCCAACAGAAGATGAAAAAAGACAAACAAGACATATATATATATATATATATATATATATATATATATATATGTATATATATATATATATATATATATATATATATGTCTTTTTCATATATATATATATATATATATATATATATATATATATATATATATATATATATATATGTCTTATTTGTCTTTTTTCATCTTCTGTTGGACAAAATTCAACATCATCACTTGATAAGACACCGAGAGTGTTGAAACAAAATGGCTATTTTTTTAGTGATTTTATAACATATTTATATTATAAATTTTTTTTTTAAATAAATAATTATATATATATATATATATATATATATATATATATATATATATATATCAAATATGTATTAAACAAATTACAAGGCACATAGACATAACATTGTGTGTGTTCTTTGGTGAATGTTATTTTGCTGAATGTTTGTAATGTTCATAGCGTTTTCCAGAAATGGGAAACACCGATCTTCTAAGAGCTTACATCTTGTCGCTGAAATGAAAAGAAAAAGAGATTTACCTCACCTCCACATGAGGTGGAATGTGGCACGAGGCCTGAGGGAAAAAGAGATCGAGGCCAGAGGTTGCCTGGTATTTATAGCATGGGGAGAGAGACCCCTGGTGAAGAATTAGGGAACTAAGGAGGAGGTAACTCCTACACATTTAATGTTTAAAATACTTTTCATGGCTGTAATATTCCATTTTTGGTCTATTCTGCCTCTTGGCATTGTGAAAAGGCATGCCTCTTCCTCACAAACTGCCTAAAAGCTTGCTTCTCAGAAGCCAGAGAAATTGGTCAGAGCCATAAATAAATTAGCTAAATGAAACTTGTTCATTTGCTGGCCATAAGGATTGTCAATTGTAAGCAGATAGTATGTTTGGTTATTTTCAAGAAGGGACAGCCTAAGATGCAAGTTATGAATTGGAGATGACAGAAATATGTGACAGTGAAATCTGAAGGTGCATTGGGACTGTGAAAGATGCCTCCCAAAAGCTAAGCAAAGTATCAAGAAGTGAGAAATCTAGTAGGGAGAAGAAGTGGATTTCTACCTTTCCCAAGAGTATTTGTGTGTAAGTGAATATAAAGAACACAAATGGAATTGGAACTCAATTCTCTGATTTCCAGTTCCAAGCAATTATCCATTGCAAATCCAAGCTTACAGCAACTGGCATTCTCAAACGGTTACCCATCTAGGTATTGAGCAGGCTTGGCATTGCTTAAATTTGGGGACCTTACAAGAACTGGTATTTCAACATGATATGGCTGTAAGCTTATTTATTGAGGAAAGAAGGCTTGGAGAATTTGAAACTCACAGGATATATTGAAGGCGAGAGGGACAGAGGGAAACCTACTTAATGAGTTTGTACAGAAAAAGGGCTGAAAGGGATAGTAAATGGACAAATATTGTTTAGGGCTAAAAATGATAGGAAGATGTGGAGAGCCATGACATTTTTCAATGTTTTTTTGAGCCCTGCGTTCCTGAACAATTTTAACTCTTCTGCCTGAGCTCCAGAGTCAAAATTCACAAATAATTGATATGTAATATTTCACAGTAGATATAAAAATAAGACAACCAATAGCAAAACACAACGCAAGTGTTTACCCATCGTACAACCAATGACTGGGTATTACGTCATTTTTCTCTACTACAGGTAAAGCGATGATCAGGGCTCAAATGGTTGAACAAAGGATATAAAAAAAGAAAAAAAATATGAAATATGTCTACCTTAATTTATTGATATTGGTGTCGGGAAGTCATAAAGACTTCAAATCCTGAATTCTTTAAATTATTTCTTACTGTCTGATTTGTATGGATACAGCTCAATGGTGAATGAATGATGTGTAAATATTTGTGGTTCCATTCAGAATGCAATGAGATAGAAATTTATTAGGAGAAACTGGCCTCCAGACATATTGTGCAGTATTGAATGTAAATTATCTTTGCAAAATCTTTATAATGAAATTACTCAAAAACTGTCTGTGTGAGCTTACTGTATTCTCAGCTATTTCTGTTGACTTTTTTCCAACCTACCCACTGTTATACGAGACCCTCCCCATTTATTTTATTTTCCACTTTTTCCAGCCTGTCTGTTTATTACAGCCTCCTGCTTTCTCCTTATTTTTTTTTATCCCCAAAACAAATTAATTTGGAATTAATTTTCCAACTTACTTTTCCAATGTACCTTTCTATTCTAACCTACCCTTCTATTCTTGCCTTAAGATCAGGATTTTTTCCCCATTTTGCTATTGAATTACCTGCTGTTAATCTGATATATAGATTTATGTATCATCTCTTCCATATTAGAGTGTATCAAATGTATTTTTATTTTGTCTTGTTTTTACAGACTATTACTTTAACGCTTATTTCACGTAAACATCAAAAGGCGATAATTCATCATCATCATCATCATTCTTCTTCTCTTTTAACTTTCTCAATTCATCATCATCTTTCTCATTTTCCTTCTCCATCCATCATCATCATCATTCCTCTTGTCTTCCTTCTCACATCATTTTCATCACTATCATCACTATCATCATCATCATTATTCTTCTCTTTTTCCTTCCTATCATCATCAAACATCATCACCATAATAATAATAATAATAATCCTTCTCGTCGTCCTTCTATCATGATGATGATCATCATCATCCTTTTTCTCTTTTTTCTTTCACCATTCTTTCATCAGCATTCTTCTTTTTTTCCTTCTCCATTCATCATTATCCTCCTTCACACTGTCCTTCTCCATTCATCATCATCATCATTAACATCATCACCATTCTTCTCTTTTTCCTTCTCCCATCATTATCATCACTATCATTACTATCATTATCATTCTTCCCTTCTTCTTTCTCACATCATCATAATCATCATCATAATCATCATTGTCCTTCTTTTCTTTTTCCTTCTCTATTCATCATCATCATCATCATTCTCTTTTTTCTTTTTCATCATCATCATCATCATCATTCTTCTCTTCTTCTATCATTATCATCAGTCATCACTATCATTATCACTCTTCTCTTCTTCCTTATCCTCATCATCATTATCATCATCCTTCTTCTCTTTTTCCTTCTCCATCCATCATCATCATTCCTCTTGTCTTCCATCATTTTCATCACTATCATCACTATCATCATCATCATCATTATTCTCGTCTTTTTCCTTCCTATCTTCATCATCAGAATAATGATAATAATCATCCATCTCTTTGTCCTTCTATCATCATCATCATCATCATCTATCATTCTTTCCTTTCTCCTCCTTTCATTATCCATACTATACATCTGTATCTTTTATTTCAGGTTTATAAGGTTGAACACAGTTATTAGGATTCTGACAATATTCGGGAAGTGGAATGAAACCATACTATCTGAAACTAGTCTCAACATTTGAAGCATAAGAAAATTGGCTCACTATGTCATACCAAACAATTCTTCTCATCAGAATCCATCTTGCACATTTATAAATCCGCCATTGCTGTCATATCTGGTCTGGTGTTCCTATTAGATATTTTGAGATTCTTAACAAAAGAAAGGCCCTATAATGTTATTAGTCCTGACCTGGCATTTTGACTTCAGTTACTTTTACATTGTCATAACATGGCTTCCCTCTGTCTTTTGTATAAATATTTAGAAATGTTTTCTGTTTCTCCAGTCTCATTTCATTCAACACAATGCACATTAGTATAACTAAATAACTTGTTATTGACAGATATTGTAGTCTTTAAATTTCAAGGTGACAATTTGGAATTGGTCAGTGCATGTTATTCTAATCCTTATTAATTTTTCTAGGCAGGAATATTTGTCGCTAGGCCAGGTGTGTCCTTGAATTGGACAGGTCAGAGCATATGTTTTTAATTCCATTTCTGACGAATATGTCAGTTGAACATGTTTTGGTTTTGGAGCAGTGGCTCTGAATGAAATGGGGTAAAATCAAGACATAGGATTTGGTCTTTTAGCCCCAACTTTAAACAATGAAAAATTGAGTTATTTTGGCATGTGAATAGTTTGATATGTGGTCGGAAAATTATGTATAAATTCAGCTCAATTTTGAGGAGACAGAGATGGGCTGAGATGCCAGACAGACGGGTCATCAGACACACATGTAAGTGCACATCCACACAAGGAAGGGACCCAATTTTCACTTGAATTTCTGATTGAACATTGCTGAACACATAGATTGAGATTCCAGGTTGCTGCTGTCTAATACTTTTGTGTTAATAGATGCCAAATATATCTGATTGTAAATTATTTTATTCACCTTCGTGAAATCGTCTATATTTAACCAAAACTGGCACTACGATTTCTTTGGTGAGAGCTTGACTATTTCTAGTCAGTCCAGTCATCAACAAGAAGTTTACCATAGCTTATTGAGTAAGAGAAGAAAGACAACTCCCTTCATCAGTAAGAATCACAACACTTGAAAAACTAAGACTGGATGATTGACAACTGATACTGGCACCAAACCCTAAACCCGTTCAGAAGCTGTATAATTCTTCTTATTCAATAGCCATGCGAGAATTGAGATATCAGAACAAGTGGGGTCTGAACTGAGTGACTGCACATAGACAGAAAGGAAGACTAGACCAACAGTTTATGGGAGACGTGTACAGGAAGAGAGGGGGTTATATTAGGAATTTAGCAATC